TTGAAGTTATGGAACCACAGGTGATTTTGCGCTTCTGTCCAGAAGTACCGTCTTTAATTTTCTCACCAGTTCATTTCTTGCATCTGTGTAAATTATTGATGTCTGCAGTGTCCTTCAGTTTACCAAGGGGTTGCTTTTTGGTTTTGAACTCTTGCCGAATAATTTTCTCTTCTGTTCCCTTGTAGAAGAAACAGCAACTGAGCACTGCTTGTTTGGGAATTCTTCCACTTGGGTTTTGTGCACATTCATCATCATGGTCCTGCCCTGCAGTTACACCTTGCGGTTTTTTTCTTTTTTTTTTTGAAAGGCTTAACTCTGGAAACACAAGCAGTGTAGCCCAGCCCTCTTAGGGCACACATACGTGAACTGGGTTGGCCTGGTGTAGGCATATCTTTTTTTTGTTGTAATTCAGTGGTACAACCCTCAGCTTCCTGCATTTGTCCAAAACCTCTGCAATGGATCTGTAATTTTAAGTCACCTGTCTTTCACCATTCTGGGACGGAGAATATATAGATTTCTGACTTCAGTGAGTGAAGTTCTGGGTTTTTCACCCACCTTGATTATGAATGACCAACTGAGGCGGCTTCATCCATATTTATTGCTCCCTCTGCTGTATGACCTCTTCAGTGCCATGTATCTGCTGGCTTTGGAAATCAGCATTTTCAGGTGCCTTTGAAATCTGAGCTGTATTGACTATTTTTTTTCTGTAGGTATGAAACATTTGTTTCCAGTGATTTAAAGGGGTTGCAAAGTGTACTGATACATAACTGGAGGAAAACCAATTAAGAATTAAGAACTTCCCTCGTGTACAGTTTACATCTATGTGTTTTATAGAGAGCTTAATGTTAGTGCCGGGCCACTGAGTATCTTCAGACATTTTTGTGAACTCAGGATGTAATAGCATATTTTCAATGAAATCAAATGCCCCCAAAGTACCTGTTAGTGTAAGAATCTGCTCTAGTATAGTCTGGTTAAATATTAATGCAAAGACTTTTGCTGTTGCACATTTTTATCCATAATTTCTTTAATTTGGTATTATGTGTTTTTGCATAACTTAAATATAGACATCTGGACAATTTACTTAGCCAGCATAATGTTATGTTTTACTGAAAGTGTCTGCACTGTGTATTCTTAGGACGGTGTGCCAGCAGCTAACTGTTCGATATTTAAATAAAAAAATTGAGTTTTTGCATTGGAAAGTGTAACAGAAATTAAACTCCTTCAAGAGGTTCTGCTCATTAAAAGGGCAGTGTCCTAATTATGTGTACTCTTTAATACGTGCTGGGCCAGTAGAAGCATATGTTTCGCTCTACTGGTAGATTGGTTAAGGAATGTTAGAAATGTCTTTTGGGCTTGTTTTCCTTTTTAATTTAATTCAATATGCTGTTGGTTAAGAAAGTAAACTTCTTTTTGTGTGTGCATTTATAGAAATACATTTAAAGAAATCTTATGTATCTTAGAGGTGTTCTTTATCATGGGCAGTTGTATATGATGAAGATTAACTCTACGGCTCAAATACGTACTTGACACAAGGATTTTGTTTTTAAACTACCAGAACATATCTTAGCTGCGAGCTCGGAGATGCCTCTGTATTGGTTAATACAGCAAACTTAATACATCAGTGCAGAAGGGATGAGATTTCACAGTAACTCTTGCATCTCTCACAGAAGTGTTAATGAATTTACTATATCAGGATATTTCTGGCTGCTGAGTCAGAGCTGAATTCAGAGAGACCATCATTTAAGTATAAAATATAATCCCTTTATTTTAACTTTGACTCAAGGAAGTGTTTTCTTATGTCCTAGCTCAGAATTATTTTCTGAGTTTCTACTCTTCAGATAAGCCCATTTGATCTCATGGCTCCGAAAGAAGAAAAAATTATATTTCCCCCCCTCACCCCTCACATAGCCACTTATATTAACTGGAGCGCTCCTTTGTGGATAATACTTGGCTTGCTTTATTTCCCACAGTTTATGAACGCATCTTAAATACTGAGGGAGTATGTGTATGCTTTTCTGTTCAAGGATAATTCAAGCAAAGATGTATGCAGTACATTCAGTTTTCTTAAACTGTATCTCGAGGTTTTAATAAATTTTCTGAATTAGTGTTTTTTTAATAGGGACAGTGACCTTTCCTGCTCTTGTCATTTGACTTATGGATTCGCTGCTGCTTAAAATGGTGTGGCACAAATGAAAGTGAATCAAATCATGGCTCAAACCTAATAATTTCTCTGCCTTATAATAGTTTACAGACCTTCAATTTATTTCAAAAGAGGTCTGACCTCCTTTAGAAACATACTTCCTATGCCATTGAGGATGAAGGGGGGGCAGTCTGCCTACTTCTTTCTGGCCCTTTTCTTCTCTTTCTCTCACTGTGGGAGAACAGAGCAAAAAAGATCCATTGATGAGGTTTCTGTGATTTTTGGTTTGGGGAAAAGGGCACGGTTTGGCATTTGGAGGCTTCCTTGCAGAAGCTTTTGAATCTGGAAATAAATTTTAAGTCAAATGATTAAATTTTAGCACTTACTCCAGATACCTGATTAAGATTCAGGATTTTTAGTAAATTGTATCTAAAGGTAAAAGCTAATTTACAGCAGGTATTAAAGAAAAAAAATTACAGTTAATCGCAGCTACTGTCTGCTGCATTTATTATGATGCTTCCATCAACAGGATGTATTTGTGTGTCAATGGTAGTAATTTACAAAATAAGGGTTTAGGAACTCAATTAATTTGTGTTCTTTAATTTTAGATCTGAATAAATAAGCAACACATCTATTTCAAATCCCAATTATACATGCTTTATTTCTGAATGTAGTAAAAATGTGTTCAATATTAAAAGACTGTAAACTGAAAGATCTTTTTTTTTTCTTTATTTTTAATTATTTGAGAGAGATTTTTCACACCCAGTGATAATTTCCTTGCCTCCTGGGATGTCTATTTTTTCCTCAGTCAGGGATGTTGGCAAGTGCTTTGTTATGCTGGGGAAAAAATGTTCAGCTCTTAATATTTTATCAGTTCCATTGGGCTGAAGGTGCCAGCAGTTGTGTAAAAGTCTACCAGTCCGCAGCGTTTCAAGTCTTCAACCTCGTCGTATGGGAACATTATAAATTATGTATAATGGTAGATGCCACTCAATAAATATTTAATATGTGATAGGTATTTTTGACTGAAATTACTTTTTCACTCGAATGATGATTTAAGCTGTGTTTTTTGGTTTTATGAGGTGACACTTTTATAATATCAAGGAATAGCTGGGTGCATTTTGAATGTCAAAGAGCTGCAGGGCAACATGAATAACAGCTTTTTTTCTCCCTGAGTGCTGGAGAACTGTTTAATTCATCCATGACAAAAGTGGGATTTCCTGGCTTTGTTTTGGACTGTCTTTTGTATGGTATGTCATCATCTCATCTTGCTCAGGTGTATCCACACATAGAATTTTTAAACAGTATCAATATTGATGACATCATGATTAGGGGACTGGAACATCTCCCCTATGAGGAAAGGCTGAGAGAGCTGGGCTTGTTTAGCCTGAAGAAGAGAAGACTGAGAGGGGATCTCATCAAGACATACAAATATCTTAAGGGTGGATGTGATGAGGACGGAGCCAGACTATTCTCAGTGGTGCTCAGCGACAAGACAAGGGGCAATGGGCACAAACTGAAACATAAGAGGGTGACAGAGCCCTGGAACAGGCTGCCCAGGGGGGTTGTGGAGTCTCCGTCTCTGGAGATATTCAAAACCCTGTCCTGTGCAACCTGCTCTAGGTGACCCTGCTTTAGCAGGGTGGTTGGACTAGATGATCTCCAGAGGTCCCTTCCAACCCCTGCCATTCTGTGATTCTGTGACATTTTGTATTGTGCAGGGAAATGAGATATTGCATCTGTTCTCTTCTTTCAGATTTGTCAAGTTGACGTATTTAGGAAAATACATGTAACAATCTATCTGTTTTTTCTTACAAACAGTGTAATGTCTTGGTTGGCTCTGGAGAAGGCATACTGATGACTTGGAAAAGGAGTTGTCATGCTGCTGTTGGAAAATGTATTTTCTGTGTTTACTAGCACCAGGAGAAAATTGTGCGCCTTATAGTACACAGAAGTGGTACTTGCTGACATTGCCTCTCCTTCCTGGGTTGTCAGTCTTCCTTGGCTCATAAGGGCTTAGCTGTTTTATGTAGAAAAACACATTCATTTTGAATGGTGGTGTGTGTACACATTCACAATCTCTGTTGCTGTTATCTTCCAGGCCTAGAAGCTATAGGATTTTATTTGAACTTGAAAAATAAACTTTATAAATACTAAAACTTATTTAAAACCTATAATTGATTTCTTATTTATTGCATAGACTGTCTGATCAGTACCACATCACATGATATTTTACCCAAAGTTGAAGTCTCCCACTAGTCCTTCTGAATGATCCTTCATCCCATAGGTGGCTGTACAATGTGGCCCAAAAGAATTTTGAAAAATTGAAATTATATGCTGCAAATATTTTCTACATTTATTTACTATTGTCAGTGTTTCCCTTACACTGGATGGTGTTTTAACTGTTTAGGCTTACTGAGTTTTCAGATGTCTGGGATTTTTATTGTGCAAGGTTCAATTTATTTCAGGGACTGCCGAAGAGTTTTCAGTTTTTTATTCCTTAGCTGTACTGAATTCTGAGGAGTTTTAAATTCTCCTTACCATTATGCAAGGTGGTACATAGCTTGCTTTTAGACAACATTGCTTTGTTCTGTTTTCGACTGATCTTCCTTATCTGGTGTATTTCAGCTGTTTTATCTATCTGGTTTCTTTCAAATGACACCTTCACAGATTTCCTGAAGAGCAAGCTTGGAATGCTCAGTGGAAATACAGCAGTTGCACTGAAAATGTAAAAACCCACAAAACCCCCCACTTTTTTTTGGTGATATTACAGTGAATAAGTTACATTAAACAGTGTAGAAAGAGAGGGAAGAACGGTATTTCTTGCATATCCTAATAAATAGAATTTTGTCCTTTACAGGAGCAAACCTTGGCTCTGAGGAAAGAAGGGATAGGCGTTGTGTTAGATTCTGAACTGCCTCATCTCATTGGCATTGATGATGATCTGCTCAGTACTGGTATCATCTTGTACCACTTGAAGGTAAATACACATCTGTGTTTCCATAGCCTTTATGTGCCTTGTGATTTTTTCAGTAGATAAATTGTATTAATTTGCTATCTAAATATAGTGCTTAATTACCTTTCTCCACTGTAGTAAGAAAATCTCATTACGTTTCTCTGCTATAGTAAGAAAAGCTCTTAAGAGGTTGCAACTGATTGAATTAAAATATCTGTTAATTTACTGTTTAGGTTTATTCTGAGGGTCAACTGGTTAACTGGAAATAGGTGTTTAATATTCCTACCCATGTATACTTGGTTTTCATTCATCTCATTGTAAAGCTTGACTGGAAATCCAAATCTAGATTGGTTTCCTCAAAACTACAAAGATGGTTCTACACAGAACAGTTGAAACTTGAATGTGCTAATAATATTGTATAGTAATGACTGTGAACGCATTCTAAAAATGTTACCTGATTTTTTTCAGGTATGTTTAAACATATATTTTGTTCAGGTTACTCTGAGAAAGTGGAAGGATAACTTATATCTTTGCAGGGGAGGAAGGGAGATTTCAACTGAAAATAATGTGTGTTTCTCTCTTAATTAGGAAGGCCAAACATATGTTGGCAGAGAAGATGCTGTGACAGAACAGGATATTGGTATGGAATTTGACATTTTTTTACATTCTTTCTTCAGCTGTTTTTCTTTCTTCCAACAACCCAATATGTGAAGAAAGCTTCACAATTTTTTTCCTTTTTCAGTTAGTTGTCTGTGTTCTTGTGTATTTTAATTTTTAGAAAACTTGAGAGCTGAATTATGTGGGATTTGCTTCAGAGAGCATGACTTTGGCAATAGTTTGTGGGCTTCAAATTTATTCATATTCATATACGTGTTACTAATTTATTTCTTGCTTCTCTGGAAATAGCATCCTGTAAAAATACCATCCTTTTTAATACAGTACCTGTCACAATTACTGCACATTCATTCTCTTAATCTCTGTATAATGACAGTATTGTTGTATTGTTATACCTAAAGTAGTCTTCAGACTTTAGATATGAGTTGAAGAAAATTCTGGAAATTGTTAAAAAGAAGGTCGGCTTCTTGTACTGATCTTTTTTTTTTTTTTTTTTTTTTTTTAATTCACTTCTTATTAAAGCAACTAACTGCCAGACCTGGACTGCCCTGTCACATATGTTGCTTGAAGGCAGTTTCTTTAAATAAGCTCCATTCTTTAATTCTCAGGTGAGAGACTGAGAATCAAAAAAATTAGGTTGGTATATTTTTGTGGGTGAAAAGATGCCTGGATTAAAATTTCTATATAAATTTCATGAAACTAGCTAACTCACGTTGCTTTGTGGTATTAAACAATACAGGTAGAGATAATTGTACATTAGTTGAAGAAGAGACAGAAAGTAGCATAACTGATTGATAAAAGGCCTGAATATAAGAACGTAAGAACCTTATTTCAGGCATCCTTGTTAATCTACAATCACAGATTATATCCTGTCTTTTCAGATTTAAGCGTGGTTGCTTTAAGGTCAAGAAGCTTTTGTTATTTCCCAGAAACCCGGTCAAAAACGCCTCATCTCTACAAATACGTAAATTTTCCTTTCCTGTTTGCTATCAGAAGGAAAGAAGTATTTACTAATCTGGTGCTAAAACACAGAAGGAAAGAACATTACACCAAAAAACCCGAAGCAACTCAACACACTTCTCTTTCCACTACAGTAAAACAATAAACAGCATCGACATTTAAGGCATGCCAGATGTGATGAAGGAAGGAAAACAACATTGACTGGAATAAAGAGAAAAAATACTCTAAAACATGTAGTGCAATATGTCCTTAATAAATTAATATCGACATGCAAATCCTTACTAGTTGTTAAGAGATTAATTATGTTATTTTATTTCTTTGTATTTAGTTCTTCATGGCCTTGATTTGGAAAGTGAGCATTGCATCTTTGAAAATCTCAATGGTACTGTGAATCTAATACCACTGAATGGAGCGCAGTGTTCTGTGAATGGTATTCAGATTACAGAGGCCACACACCTAAACCAAGGTATTACCTGGCATAATGTCACTTCTGATATAGCATCTTTGTTTCTTTCTGACAACAGCACTGAAAAAAATCTGTGTGTATATAAAGGGGTTATTTGTTTGTTTAATTTCAGTTCCATTTCTTCTCATCTACAGCCAAAAATGGTCTGGAGAGCCATGGAGATTTTGTTCTGTCAAAGAACTGACGTGGTGAAAAGAAAAAATTCTTTACTAATTTAAGCCACTTTGTAATCTCAAGTATGAATTGATAGTTACCATTTGATGTCTTTAAAGTTTATGTATAAAGCGAACTCCATGCCAGATTGCTTAGGTTGCTGTGATATTAAGAAAAAGAATATTGGTCTCTATAGGACTGAAATAATGTCAGACACACTTCCCCCCATCCCTGAGCTTCAGGCCAGTCCTACTTAACGCTATTGCCAAATTGTCTTGTATAGCAGGAGATTCAGGAGTATCTGTTCACTGCGGCTGTAGGGAAATGACAAAATGGGGGAGGCTAAAACTTATGGAGGAAGTTTAGTGAATTACAACTATAATATAGAAGCTTTGAAATCTGGAAATGAAAAAGCAGCCGGGACAGCTCAGAACAAAGGTGTATTGTGTGGGCCTGGGAAGCACTGGCTAACAAGTAAGCTGGTGAGTGCTGCAGCAGAGGTTTGGGATGTTTTATCTTCCAGGAGCACCCAGCATATTTTCCCATTTAGCAATGAGCTGAAGACCTGTTTAGGAGGGAGGCTATGACACAGCTCAGCTGCTGAAAAGCAGTGTCACTTTACAGTCCTGGAAAGAAGCTTTCAGGGTAAGCTTATTCTAACAAAGGAAGAATGCAGTATTGAACAAGGAAAGCCTTGCATCTTTTCTGAATTCAAACAAGTGCTTCAAAAGTCTGCTTTCAGAAAGTAAGGAGTTTTGGTGTAGAGAGGGGACGTTGATTTTGTGAAGTGTCTATTTCTCCATGCAAAATGAGAGATGCACGTGTTTCTGTTACAGATACTTGCGGGGGGGAAAAGAAAACCCAGCCCCCTTTATCTTATATTTGGGTAAATCCTGTTGATAAATTGTCAGCAATAGAAACATGGACATTAATGGCAAATAACACTGTAAACAGTAAGAAATGCTGTTGCAATGACTCATCTTTACTTTATCCTACTGCATTTCAAAGGCAGTAAAGGTTTGATATGCCTCAGAAGAAAGCAGTTTGGATGCTATTTCCCTCTTCCAGGTGTATGTAACAACTTGATTTTTCTACTGTGAACAGTGGAAACATGACTTCTTTTTTTCTCCCAAATTTCTGTCTGTCTAAAGAAATTTGCAACTCAAAAGAAGGGGAAAGGGTTGCTTTGAGTTACTAAATTGTGTGGAGGGGAAAAAAGCTGCATAAGCTGATCTGTAGCCTGTGTAACCAGACTGAGTGTGACAGAAAGATGGCCGCTATGACATCAGGTGGGCAAAGCTGATGAACTAACTAGTTTAACGACTCGTGCACAATCTGTGTATCCTAGCTGTGTTAGCATTTAGTCTGTCAGCGTGAAGTGGCAGCCTCCTTAAATATCTGCTTTAGGTAATGCTGATTAACTGCTGATATATTTAAATGTTTCCGTTCATAGTTAATAACTGTTCGTTTGAAAATGTGTTTCGTTTTTAGACTGTCATGGAGTTAAAAATAAGACATTAATTAATTGCCACTTCCTTCTAAAGATTACTTACAGCATTTGTGAATTCTGCTTAATGGGGCCTTTTGTGTAAATGTAACTTACTACAATATCTTTTATTCCGTAGAACGTATGGTAGGGTTTCTAGAAGTAATTGAATTAGTATTCACAATTGAATTTGTCCTTTACCTTAAACTCCCAAAGAATTGTGGTGAATGGAGTTAAATCCTGTTGGCGGCAGGCCACAAGCAGTGTTCCTCAGGGCTCAGTGTTGGGGCCAGTTCTGTTTAACACCTTTATTAATGATCTGGAAGAGGAGAACTTGTGCACCCTCAGTGAGTTTGCAGACAACACTATGTTGGGCAGCATGTTTATCTGCTGGAGGGTAGGGAGGCTCTGCAGAGGGATCTGGACAGGCTGGATTGATGGGCCGAGGCCAATTGGATGAGGTTCAACAAGGCCAAGTGCCGGGTCCTGCACTTGGGTCACAACAACCCCATGCAATGCTACAGGCTTGGGGAAGAGTGGCTGGAAAGCTGCCCGGTGGAAAAGGACCTGGGGGTACTGGTCGACAGCTGACTGAATATGAGCCAGCAGTGTTCCCAGTGTCGTGGTTTAGCCCGGCTGGCAACTAAACACCAAATAGGGAAGTGATCATGTGCCTGTGCTGGGCACTGGTGAGGTCATACCTTGAACACTGTGTTCAGTTTTGGGCCCCTCACTACAGGAAAGATGTTGCATTGCTGGAACGTGTCCAGAGAAGGGCAAGGAAGCTGTTGAGGGGTCTGGAGCACAAGTCTGATGAGGAGCAGCTGAGGGACCTGGGGTTTGTTCAGCCTGGAGAAGAGGAGGCTGAGGGGAGACCTTATTGCCCTCTACAACTGCCTGAAAGGAGGTTGTAGCGAGGTGGAGGTCAGTCTCTTCTCCCAAGTAACAAGAGATAGGACAAAAGGCAACATCCTCAGGTTGCCCCAGGGGATGTTTAAATTGGATATTGGAAAAAAATTCTTCACTGAAAGGGTCATCAAGTATTGGAATGGGCTGCCCAGGGAAGTGCTTGAGTCAGCATCCCTGGAGGTATTTGAGACACATAGATGTGGCATTTAGGGACATGGTTTAGTAGAGGACTTGGCAGTGTTAGGTTAACAGTTGGACTTGATGACCTTAAAGGTCTTTTCCAACCTAAATAATTATGTGATTCTATATTTCTAAGTTTATCCCCAACTTAAACTATGTTTTGCAGTTTTTAGGCCAAACTGCCAACTCTTCTTGTAGTTAATATAACTGCTTGCTTTTTTATAGTTTGTTAATAGAAAAACAACTTTTATAAATAAAGAAGTGACTTTTAGAAGTTGATAAGATCTTAATTATCAATACATTTGTATGCAAAGTTCCAAAAGATTGGTCTGGATAGATCAGCGATGCTTGATGACATTCAACAGGCACTCTTTTTATATTATATAACTTTTTTTTTCCTATGCTCTCTGGTCATTTATATGTTGGAACCAACCTCTTAAATTGTGAGATCAGAGCTTCACAAATGGTAGAAAATTTTTTGCTTAGTTTTTGTTGTGTTCTTAGTACTATAGATGTATTTGACAAGCCTTTTTTCTTTGCCATTTAACATTCAAGGAGAATAAGAATTGTTGCTTACAGTAAATAAATGGAAAGCAAGCCCCATAACAAATCCAGTTATGTTTCCATGACGACATTTATGCTGCACTTTGCATACTTGCGTTCTGCTGGAGAGCCGCATTGTACAACAGCGGACAGTCGAACCTGATGCTTAGGAAATATTTGACTGCGTGGTTTTGTCCAGCCTTTTTTTCCTAGAGAGGCTTTGATGTTTGTGCTTATCTAAGTTCTGTCAAGTGGGAATCAAAATTGTAGGGTTTTTCCTTAATAATAGAATAATACAAAAAAGGCCATAGGATTCAGAGTGGTGGTATCCAAGTGACTTTGCAATACAAACCTCCATACAGATTTATGAAAAGTAATTCTTCTTAAGATTAGACTGAGGTAAAAAACTGTTCATAGGGCCCAAATTGAGGTGGTGTGTAGACAGCAAGAAGTAATGTTGTGACTGTAGTGCTTTTTGCCATTTATTTGCCAAGACTGGATGACCTTATTTGTGTTGAAATTCCTAATTAAGCTAATTTTAAGAGAGGCATTCCTTACTAAGCATGGCATTTCATTCTCAGATGGTAAGAATTTGTTTGTAGTGAACACTCTTAAGTGCAGTTTTTTCATACGGTGAGCGTAATGGAGCCCTTTATCTTTTTAAAAATGCCTCATACCAACCGACAGGTAAATGCTTGATTCTGTGGTGAACTTGGAAAACTTCCATGCTATGACAGTAGTGAGACATCACTGACAATATACTTCTTAGTTGGAAAGTATTAGTGGGGGTGCCATTGTCTTTGAAATATGATAAGAATTGCCCAGAATCTCATTATTGGTGACCTGCACCTTAACCGATTAAATTCAATAATGGATGTGTGTTGTGCAATATGAATTATTCAGGTTTCTTCCCTCAGAAAATAGCTATTGGGTATAAAAGTCTAATAACATGTTTTGAGTGATGATAAACTTCAGTGTTGCTCCACACAGAGAAAAAAAGGTAAGTGAGAGTACAAATCATGGAGATCTGGAGCTTTCAGTATAGGTGGATTCAAACCTAATTGTCATCAGTAGCGGATGGACAAGTTTGTTCCAAAGTAGCGCTGTTGAAGAGTGTATGGATCGAATTGGGGCAGTTGTTTCCACTGCTTCCTCTATCTATATTTATTCTTTAACTGAACTGCATGAACATGATTGACCTTTGTGCACATGGCCATGCGTGTGACTTGGTTTTTTTAAGTAGGAAGAGGAAGGGATGAACTATATACATCAGTTAATGTAGCTGTGACTATGCATTGTTGTACACTTGACTTGTCAAAATGCATTTTCATTTTGTTCTTGCTTAATGGAGTCTTTACTTACATATTGTGTGTCTGAAAAATTACTGGGCGTTTTCAGGTACAGTATGTTGTCAGTGAATGGTGTGTGTTTTTCTCATCAGGTGCTGTTATATTACTTGGGAGAACCAATATGTTTCGCTTTAACCACCCCAAAGAAGCTGCTAAGCTAAGGGAAAAAAGAAAGGTGAGATTAAATTAGTGTTTGGGGAAACTTAAACCTTTGCACAATTTTCTTGTTAATATAGACATACCTCAATTTTTGTAGAATACTTTTTTTATTTGCTTCACATACATTAGTTAATATTTCATCAAGTGAAACAAAGTAAGACTTTATAAGCACATCAGTGTTTTTCTAATGCATTTATTTTATGGTCTGTTGTTAGAGTGGACTGCTATCTTCCTTCAGCTTGTCTATGACAGATCTTTCAAAATCTTGTGAGAACCTGTCAGCGGTTATGCTTTATAATCCAGGGTGAGTATATTCTAAAATGCAATTATTAAAGTTGCAACTGTTCTTCATTTTACTGGCTTGAATGTTCCAAATGATAGTAAAAGAAAATATTTTGTTCTCAGGTTAATAGTATATGCTTGTTAAATAATGAGCTTCTGAATGAAGCCAGGACTTTTCAGAAATGTTATTTGAACTAGTCCATGCTATAAAATGGGGTGTAGGGACACTGAGGAACTTTCCATCCTGCTTAGCAAAACCTGATTTTACTTGGGATTTCTCTACCTAAGTGCAGGAAGAGTAACTGCACCAGCAAACAGCCACACTGATAGATCTAACACAAAGTTGTAATACCTGGAGTCTGGGAGAAAACATTTGGATTACAATCCAGGCAGTTCAGCACAATAATGACATGGCAGACTTTACATTTATCCTTTCTTCAGAATTACAAGTTAACTATTTTTCCTGAGAAAAATGCATTGTAAACTGAAAATCAAATGGGGTTGAGTTCATATAATACCGATACAAACATAAAAAGGGTGGGAAATGAATGTCTTATGTTCTCACCTATGTACCTCCTAGTAGGTGGCCAAGTTAGGACGTGGAAAATAGTTTTATTATACAATGACATAGACTGCTTATTATAGAGAAGCTGTTTTTAATGTTTTTACCAGTGTTCTTAAAATGACTTACAGAGAATTGATAGTGCTTTGTTCTAAATTTTTTTTCAATAGCTACTGCCTGTGTTTTGAATTGAGTGCGAGATGAGGCACTTTAACCACCTATGTGCTTTTGAAAAATTGGCCGTAAATTGAATTACAGGCTTGGATAGTGCAGCTTTATTCCTGAGTTTTGCTGTGGGGTTGCTCTTTATCCATTAGAACTTGGGAAGATTGGAGAGGTAATAACAACTTCAAGTTAAACTATGTCTTAAATACAGTAAATATGTGTAATACCACTGCTTCAAATGTGACTGTTACTCTTTTGCTACTGAGCTACCTACAGAGATTTCGATAGTGAGCTAGTTGCTCATAAATTGCATCTCTCTTCAGAGAGGAAAGAGAAGGTCAAAAGAGTGTATGTATATTTTTCTATTTCTTCAGCTTTTCAGATAGTTTGATTTAAAAACTTCTAGTTGCGCTTGCTAGTAGTATTTTCAGTGGGCTGGGGAAAGTTCCTGGCTGCTCTTTGTTACCTCTGGTTATTGATCATGACCATGGGCTTTTCCCTGACTAATAATGTTACTCTGTTACAATACTGTTATGAATAATTGCATTATATTGCAGAGTACTGACCTTGAATTTGCAGTCAGCATAGAGTAGGACAAATTGTTTCAGCATTGCCTCACTTCTAGTCTTTCACATTTGCAGCAAAATATAATGGCATGGGCAAGGCCCAGTTGAAGGAAGGCTTAAGAATAATTTCCTGCCCAAGAGGCTCATACCGTCTTCAGATAAAACCAAATTGCGTCTTATACAGAGGATTCTTCCTGTGACCCTTATTTTTAAAGAAAAAAAAAGAAAAAAAAAAAAGTCTCAAGTGTTACTTGATTGTCTCTGATAAAGTAGATTGCAGCAAATTCTTTTTTGCCTAATATATTTTGTGGAATATAGCTTATTTTTTGCTTATCAGTTCTTCAAACATCTTGCCTTGCTTTCCTGGAAATCGAACACTATGAACAATATAATTAGGATATCAATGTATGCAGCCATTTTCAGAAACGCTACCATTTTTCTCATCTAATATTTCTTATAACTTTTATTTTCCTTTCTTGGGTATGATTATAAGAGCGCTGTTGCAGTTAAAATTGAGGATAAATTTAGGTGAAATACTCTTCAATTCCTGAACACTTTCATGCCTGTGTTTTATTAGACTATAAACTGCGAGCAGAGGGTTAATTATTGATATTCTCCTGCTTGTCTGCATTCAATTAATCTTTGTGAACTGGCTTGCAGGAATAGATATTTTGTCCTGCTTAATTTGTAAACACAAGAAGGGATTATGCTTAAGGCTTACATTACAGAAGAAATGCAGATCTGCATGACTGTTGCTTGTTTGTGAGCAATAAAATCTTTCTGAGGTTGTTCCATTGTCACTGTTAAGTACATACGTTTTTCTAAGCGGGGAAGCTCATGGTTGCGTATTCGTAATTTAAACTCTCACCCCTATCTTTAGATGCTTTGACTATGTTTAAAACAGTAGACGCCATGCCTAATAATACACATTGCCCTTGCAGTGCAGAGGTAGGTGTTGCCCTAATAGATCAGTAATTTAAAAAAACAAACCAAAACAAAACCCCCAAACCCCACAAACAAACCCCAAAAAACCCTCCCAACCCCCCTCAAATATGATTGTTTTTACTGCTTTTGTGACTGCTGCAAAGAGCAGGTAGGCTCTGAAGTTTGCACTGCGGTTTAACTGAGCCCTGGTCTTACAAATCAGTAGAAGAAAACATTTTCCATAATTGATGCATCTTTATGGACAGGAGTTTGGCAACACCAGCTTTTCAGCTTAAGCTGGATGGGGTTCCATGACATAGATTTATTTATGTTGAGGTTAACGCTCTCTTCTTTCCATCTCCTCCTTTTTGACAGCCCTGGGGTTGTTTTGATCATGCAGTGGGCTTGTCCCAAAGAGGTAATTCTGCTGAAAGTGTTAACTTTAAGGGGAAGAGGTGGCTGGGGTAAATACAAGTTAAGGAAAAGTATGTTTTGAATAAAGCAGACCCCAAGCATTTAGGCCTTAATAATAATTCAAAACCAGTGGCACCATATACATAAAGATTTAGGCAACTTGCAGAATGCTCGAGCTCTGTACTTGCAGCTAGGAAGGCTGTTTTAGCAAGCACAGTGCTGCGGTGGTGGTTCTTCTGAGTGGTGACTGTGTTCAGCCTGGGTAAAACATTAGATATATCTGATCTCTGGGTATCAAAGGCAGGGTAACTGTACCCAAGGCGTTAGGTGGGGGTGAGCATCTTGCTTCCTGGAAAAGTGCAGATGGAAAAGAATATCCTACACTAAATTTGGGTTGGATTTTTTTTTTTTTTTCCCCATCAGGAACAATGTAGGGTGTAGTCCTTTGGTATGACCCTTTATTACAAGAGATTGTAGTATCATTTTCTCATAACATAATGGTATACTGCCCACCAGCAGTGTAGATCTAGATTCAATAGCTGGCCCTCTGGGTTTTTTGGGGGTTTTGGTGCGACTTCTGTAGCTGACTAGTGTTCTGCCTATTGTTAATTTAGCACTTGCAAAACGACCTTTTCTTCCAGCTTCAGTATTGATAACCTAAAGGCTGGCAGCTAAATTTGCAATTTCTGTAGGTTGCAAGAAACAGCTTGTAAGATCTAGCATCTTTAGCAATCAATGGCAGAAGAACTTGTGGGGTATTACCTTGAGCTGTTGTGAAAGCAGATAAATGATGGATCTCGCTTACTGTATCTGTATCTTTCCCATGGGAAAATCAGTGTTATCTTTAATTGTGTTTTCAGATGGGTGGTCTTTGTGTGTGGCTTTTATTGTGTGTGTGTTTTGTTTGGCTGTTGATTTCCCATATGTGGAGATAGCTGTATAAAATTTTGGTTTAACATGCAAAATTCTTTGTTCTGCTTGTTCCCAGTCTTTGTCTTTAATCTGGTGTCATGCAACACTGCTTCAGATAATAAGCTTTGGATAAAATAGAATTTTGCACATAGATTTATGCTGAAGATTTCATTTGTGGACCTTTTGTAAGCTACATTATACTGTAACTCTAAAACCACTCATGAGAAACCTTGGTCTTGTCATGGGTTTAGCATGGGTTTTTTGTTTGGTTGGGTGTTTTTTGGTGGTGGTGTTTTTGTTTTTTTTTTTTTTAAACTCATAAATTGGGCTACAGAGCGGCATTGAAACATCTTTGTGGTCCTGCCAGTACTCAGTGTTTTCTAATAGATGTAGTACCAGATCGTGCTTTTGTGCTGTGCAAATTAAGCTATTGTAGTACAGTGCTAGCAGAACTGACTTCCTTTCTCTGCAGCTTATCTATGCTGCTCTTATCACTAGGTTTGCCAGGTTTTCCAGGAAAACGGTGACTATGTAATTCAACACTGATCAGATTAAGTTCCTTTGTGGTAGATCTACAAAAGAAGGAAGAGTGGATTCTAGTTGTTAATATCTGTATGTTTCTTTCTTTTTAATTTCAAGCTAATATTTTTTTTCTATTCACAGTAGTGCTCATATTAATAAAGAGAGTAGAGGTTATGTGAAAAAGATTTTTATTACAGATAGACCAAACCAGAAAAACATCAGACTTGCATCTATGCTTTGTATAACTGGCGGTGATTTGTTATAGCCAGTGATTTTTTTGGTGATGCTGAGGTGTTGTTTTTTTTTTTTTTTACTAGCTTCTTAAAGAAACAAGGTTTCTGCAGTCACTGACAGCCTGTTCTGCCTCCCCAGATTCTTTCCTGTCCTGAAATAATTTTGAACTCATAACCAGTTTGAAGCAAATACTGCTGGGGTAATGGCCTCAAAAGTGGTGAATTCCTAAATATATTGAGAAAATTGGCTAAGGAAGACAGACATCATTATTACCCCTGCAGAAATAAAGGCTGCAGTCTGAGCACCTTTGACAGAGAATAGAGGCACTGTGAATAACCCTGGGGTAGAGAGCCTTCAATGGAGCTCAGACGTTCATAGGCACCACCAAATCTACGTAACAGCAAAACACCAAGCTGCATTAGCCCTTGTCTTCGTAGAAGTATTTACTTGTCTAAAATGCATTAAACATGCATTTTTAAAACAGCTAGGTGTGGCGTTTGGAAGTCGTTGATAGGGGTGTTGATGATGATCCATACTTGGCTTTGGAAAAATAGCCATTTTCATTGAAGAAAGAACTACTTCTGTGTATTTCATTCCTCCTTCCTGAACAACCTTTTGAGCACCATGAGCTTTGTTTTAGTGTAAGGTAAAACTGATTCTTGTCACACCAATATGGAAGGTATTAGAGACACTCCCTCAAAGAGAAAATCACAGAGTTTTCACCACTGGCTTGTTTTTATATCAGACTGATTGCTATGATGGCTCATTTTCCTTGTATCAGATCTCAATCAAAAGCTAGTTACCATTTTTATGTGTTTATAAAATATGTTTGCCAAATTACGTGTTTTATAGGGCAGTCATTATATCAAAAGATTTTTGCTCTGTGTTTTGCATATTAAGTTAGCTGATCTGAAACATTTTACTTCATTATGGCTTGTCCTGGTTTTGGCTGGGATAGAGTTAATTTTTTTTCATAGTGGCTTGCATAGCTCTGTGTTTTGGATTTAGTACTAGAAAAGTCTTGATAACACACTGATGTTTTTGGTTGTTGCTGGGTGGTGCTAAGACTGGGCAAGGACTTCTCAGCTCTGCCAGGTGCATGGGGAGCTGGGGGGGGGCACGGCCAAGACAGCTGACCCAAACTGGCCAAAGGGGTATTGCATACCATATGATGTCATGCTCAGTATATAAGCTGGGGGAAGAAGAAGGAAGGGGGGGACGTTGAGAGTGATGGTGTTTGTCTTCCTAAGTCGCCATTACATGTGATGGAACCCTGCTTTCCTGGGGATGGCTGAACACCTGCCTGCCCACGGGAAGTAGTGAATTAATTCCTTGCTTTGCTTTGCTTGCATGCACGGCTTTTGCTTTCCCTATTAAACTGTCTTTATCTCAGCCCACGATTTTTCTCACTTTTACCCTTCTGATTCTCTCCCCCATCCCCTTGTGGGGGGAGTGAGCAAGCGGCTGGGTGGTGCTGAGTTGCCAGACAGGTTAAACTATGACATGGCTTAACCAAGCATGGGAATACTTGTAAATCAACTTTGCCAGCTGTCTAAGCAAAGGTGGTCTACATCTGCCAGTGCCAATGGACATCTGCATTTCCACAGACCAGAGCTGGATTCCCCAGGGTCTATATTATTTTAGACTGAAGTAATGATGAATATCATGGCATCATAGAATGGTTTGGGTTGGAAGGGACCTTAAAGATAATCTAGTTCCATCCCACCTGCCATGGGCAGGGACACCTTGCACTAGACCAGCTTGCTCAAAGCCCCATCCAACCTGACCTTGAACACTTCCAGGGATGGGGCATCCACAACTTCTCTGGGCAACCTGTGCCAGTGCCTCACCACCCTCACAGTGAAGAAGTAGCATTTGTCAGCCAAGCCCAAGGTACGAACTGATAACTAACAGCTATGTATTCCAGAGGCAGACCATAGCCAAAGCGAGGGCTTCTGAGGTATAGCTTAAGAAAAAAATAAAGGGGGGGGGGGGGGGGGGGAAAAGTGTATGGTAACTTTGCAAGGCTATCATAATATGCTCTTCCAGCCACTACCATAGCTAAAAAGGGGGGGGGGGGGGGGGGGGGAGAGAAAAGTGTATGGTAACCATTAAATTAAGCTTTTGCTTTTTGAAGGTCCTTTAGGATTGCTTTTTGATCTCTTTGCATAACTTCGTGGATTTTACATTGCCTCTGCAGAAATTATGATAAAATTAAAAATACTAAGTTGTCATCTCTCCTTGTGCTGTAATGTTGAGATAGCGCCCTGAAGTGCCCATCCTAGACAGCCTTAATGCAAATGTGAAGGGGCTCTTGGTGAGACATTTACATGAAGGCTCCAGATGCCTGGGGTTGTGTATGAAAATCTACATTTGCTAATCTCTTAGGCATTGTAGAAGGTATTTTTAAAAATGAATTTGTGAGAAAGAAGGAAAAATGGAATTTGTTAAACTAGTCTTTTTCCAGTATTGCAGCGGTTAGAAAGATGCTGCTTGAGTGTGTCGGAATCAAAGTTGTTTTAAATTGCTTTATAAATGTTACATTATTGTTATAATTTTTTGCATGTTTCCATGGGCAATTCCTTTTTGTTGTAGCCATTTGTATGATTTTTAGAAAGAAATATTAAAAATACCTTATTTTTAAAAAACCTGTTTACATAACTGTGGTCATGACATCTTAAACTGCTGTCGAGTACTTGAAGTTAACACGTGATATGCAGTTGTACATTTTTTCAGTGTTTATGTCTCACTAACCTGTAAACTCCTTAAGCTGTAGCAGCCCTTAAGTAAGCCCTGGATATTTGTGGGTTTTTTTCAATATTTCAGTCCATATATAGGTTCTCTATGCTTTTTTAATATTTATTTTGAAAAATTTCATTTAAAAAACCATAAATATTTCAAAGGAAATTAAAAGAAGAGAAAGACTTCTGAACTGATATTAAAAATTAATAATTTAAAATAAATTAATAAAATAAAATTAAAATACTCTCCCCTAATTTTTTAGAACCATATCAAACTAAATACATTAAAGTGTCAAAATATTTTGGGTTTGAATTTTGTTCTGTGCTTGAATATTGCACTTCATGGCCATTTGAAGTTTTTCAACCTTATTGATTACATCATGGTAATGTTTGAGTTGTTTTCCTTTTCTTGGGAGGAAAAGGAAGAACTACAAGCATGCAGTACTATAGTTTTGTAGCACTTTCCCTTCTCAGAAGTGGCCGAGTTAATGAACCATGGGAAGAAAAGCATTGATTGAACTATCATTGACATTTGAAAAATGTGTTTAGAAAGAATAATTATTTAAATATTACTTTTGAGTTGTAATGTGACAAATGTTCTTTGAATCTACCCAATTTAACCTCTAATAAAACAAACTGTTGTTGACTTTAAAATATTCTGTACAGCTAACATGTTTTTTCTATCAATTCCTTTCTTAATTGATCGCTCTGTTTACCCCTGCCTCCCATGGCAGTCTTTTCCCTGTAAAAGGACCGATCTGTCTAAGGTAGAGAAATTCAATTTCTATGTATTGATTGCCATGTCCGCATGTAGTTAATTTGCAGAAGCTATGCTAATCATTTATCTGTCTTGTTTAACTTTACTTTTAAAATATTTTTTCCCCAGAAATTAGTTTACTTTTCTGTTTGTACTCGTGTCAGCATGATATCTAATTTATAACCCTAAAGAAGGATATATTTTCTGTTATTGTAGAAAGTAGTTTTATGAAACTCTTGATTTGTACCATTGTTATAATCTTCTAAACAGACACTGAATTGCATCATATCTTCCTGGGTTTGGTTATACTTGGGGAATAACCTTTTTACTGTGTTCTTTTTCTTTTTTTTTTTTTTTTTTTTTTTTTTAAATCAGGTTAGAATTTGAGAGACAACAGCGAGAGGAGCTTGAAAAATTAGAAAGTAAAAGGTAACATTATCTGTGGTCTTTACATGTGTGTGTGAGGATCCTGATTAAATAATTTTATTTTGTTTTGTATTCTATGAAGATTTTGTTTATTTTCTTGAGCTGTTCATTCTTATTGATTAGTAACAGATAGACAAGCTGAATTGTAGCTAACTGTGATCTTTAGGAAAGAAAATACCAAATACAAAGCTACGAGGAAGGTAGATTATACAAATGTAATATATTACTCTTGCTCTTAATTTTCATGTTATTATTTTAAAATATGGTAAATTACATTCTTTATTCAGATCTTTTTTATGATTTAGTTGCCTTTGGATTGGAAAAGCTCATGTTATCACAGAATCGCACAGAATCACAGAATGGCAAGGGTTGGAAGGGACCTCGGGAGATCATCTAGTCCAATGCTCATGTTTTCCTGATTGGAAAAACTCATGTTATAAACTCTGCTTCTCTTAAATAAAACTGTAGTGCTGGTATGGGCATACCAATCGTACTTATCAGAACATTATTTCAAAATCAGTTTGAAGTACAAACGAAAGTATTGTTGTCAGCTGGCAAACTGAGCTGACTGTTCTGGCTCATCATACCTGCTAAGATTTTAGAAGTAATAGCTCTCACCTTGTTGCAGATTACAGCACTGATCAGATTCATAAGCTGAAAGGCACTTTCTTCCATCTCAGCTTTAGACTGCTTGCTCCATTTTGAAAGAGCTGTTTATATAGTTGGACTAAGTTAAATAAACTCAGAAAAACCCTGAAACTCTGAAGCACTAGAAGATGTTTTTCAGAAAACGATGTAACAGAATCACTGATACTTATCCTCTTTGTTATGTTGATAGGATTTGAATTCAAAATGTGCTGAAGTTTCTTTGCTTGTGCTTTAATTTATCTGACTTTAACTTCTCGCAAAATAACCAACCGGCTTGCAGGCTGTCTCTACATCTGTTCAGGCGATTGTATTGTGGGGGTAATGGTGGCCTTCAAGTCTCACTCTGCCCTCATTCGGAATGCGCTAGTACCTTTTAAAGAGAGATTGCACTGGACATAATAATTTGTCTTAAAGTAATTTCTTTCTCAAATACGTCTGTTCCTAATCTTATAATCCTGTTTATCAATAATTCAGCTGGGTTCACCTAGAGAGAAGACATTGTTCTCATTAATCTGTTGGCTAAATTTGGTGAGGCAAATTTCTAATCAAGTCCTTTTATACAAATTTTGTATATGAGAATGTATGTATATATAAAAATATATGTATTTACTCTTCACTATGCGCATGGATGTGTTCTGTCAATATTTTCATTGGATTTGGCAGAATGAATACAGTCTAATTTTCTACTGACAGAAGTGCTATATAACGTCTTCCTATAACTTCATATATTCATAATTTTTTTGTGTTGAAAGGGACTAGATGAATCTCTCTACCATTTGCCTCGCATTGAGTCACTTCCAAGCAATGTAAGGTCTTAACCTGTGGCAAACCAAAACTATTAAGAAAAAGAAACTGTTGTATACACTGCAAAATCTTTGTCCAACCCTTTTTAACTTCTAAGGGATATGTTTTCTTTTGGAAAAAAGTTTGAAATATTGCATGTAAATGTGTTACTGTAGGAAACAAATAGAAGAGATGGAAGAAAAACAAAGATCTGACAAAGCAGAACTTGTAAGAATGCAGCAAGAAGTAGAGTCACAGCGCAAAGAGACAGAAATAGTACAGCTGCAAATTCGAAAACAGGAAGAGAGTCTGAAACAGAGAAGTGTTCACATTGAGAGCAGGTTAAAGGATTTGCTGGCTGAAAAAGAAAAATTTGAAGAAGAGAGATTACGGGAACAACAGGAGATAGAGCTTCAAAAGAAAAAGCAACAGGAAGAAATTTTTGCCCGGGTCAAAGAGGAGTTGCAGCGACTACAAGAACTTAATCATAATGAAAAAGCAGAGAAAATGCAGATTTTCCGTGAACTAGAAAAGCTTAAAAAGGAAAAAGATGAACAGTATATTAAGCTGGAATCAGAAAAAAAAAGACTTGAAGAACAAGAAAGGGAGCAGGTGATGCTGGTGGCTCATCTAGAAGAACAGCTTCGAGAGAAGCAGGTCATGATAGAGCTCCTGAAGAGAGGGGATGTACAGAGAGTTGAAGAAGAGAAAAGAGATCTTGAAGATATCAGAGAATCTCTTTTGAAAGTCAAGGAAGCCCGATCTGAAGGTGATGAAAACAGTGAAGAGTTAGAAAAAGCACAGCATGATTTCATAGAGTTTAAAAGGAAACAACTGGAACAGCTGACTATTTTGGAAAAAGATTTAATTCAACAAATGGAACACCTGGAAAAGGAAATAGCAGATGAAAAAAGAGCTCTGGAGCACTTAAAATTTGCACATGAAGAGCATTTAGATCTCAAGAGAGATGATGAAAACTTTGTGGATGCTGTACTCAAGGCTGAAGAATTTGACAAGATAAAGCCAGCGGAGTACAGGCTCCAATCTAAAGTACGCCAGCTTGAGTACCTGAAGAGTAATCATTTGCCAGCTCTGCTGGAAGAAAAACAAAGAGCTTCTGAAGTTCTTTGTAGGGGCTTGTTAGGGTTAGATAATACTCTCTATCAAATAGAGAAAGAAATAGAAGAAAAAGAAGAGCAGCTTGCCCAGTATAGAGCTAGCACAAATCAGTTGCAGCAGCTTCAAGAAACCTTTGAATTCACAGCCAATGTAGCTCGTCAGGAAGAAAAGGTTCGGAAAAAGGAAAAAGAAATCCTTGAATCAAGGGAAAAACAGCAGAGAGAGGCGCTGGAGCAAGCTGTTGCTAAGTTAGAAAGGAGGCACTCTGCTTTGCAACGTCGTTCAACAATAGACTTTGAAATCGAAGAGCAGAAACAGAAGCTTGCCACCTTGAACAACAGCTGCAGCGAACAGGCCGGTCTGCAGGCTAGTCTAGAAGCTGAGCAGAAAGCCCTTGAACAGGACCGGGAACGGTAAGTGTTGTGGTAGCTTCCATTTATTAGAACCTAGCCACAAAAAGTGAATAACTTTATTCCTTCAGTGTTGAGAGAGCTACTTGTTCTGCGTACCAGCATTTGAGTTTCTTGGTGAGTTTCGAGTAGTTTACCCAGAATTGAAACTTGGTATTGCTTTTTAAAGGATTCTTGCTCACTCATTCATTTCTATTGTGTTTGGATACTTATCCCATCCCCAGCAGTATAGTGTTTGCGTTATAGTACTTAAATAAATTCTTTTACCTGTTTAGAAAGCTCAGCCAACCTTATGTTCTGCCGTTACAAAAACACGTACAGTCTAACAACTTTTTTCTCTTAAAATATTAATGTATACCATTTTGTTTCTTCATTAGTAACAAGCTAGATGTTTGCACAAGATTTGGAGACTGATAGTTACAGTAGACTGCCAACTGTCTCTCAAATAATGATGTACTGAACATTTCTGGTATTCGAAGTAAACAGGTGTAATATTTAATTTTTTGTTATTGGTTTCAGGGCTAAATAAAATAGGCTAGCCATATATCCATGTAAAATTTGATGCTGGTTTTTAAGCTTATTGGAAAATACACAGAGGCTTTAATACAGCCCTATGTGATGACAAACCCTTATAGGTACAGAAGCAATGTCATCAGTTATACATGCAATATTTGGTAGCATAACATTCAGCCTAAGTATGGGAGGCTCAGAGAAAATTGATTCAGTTAAATAAGGGTCTTTCTATGTGGAAGAAGAGGAAGAAACCTTTTCTTTTTGGCCTGAGCAAAAATCCACTGGGATTAATGCATTTAATCCATGCAGTATGGAAAAAGCGCAGAATTGCCATTTTTAAATGTGTAGTCTGATTTGCTTTAAAACCTGTGATTATTGGTGAAACAGTTCAATGTTTTTTCTTGAGGTAGCATTTGTCATGTTTTTTTTTGTTTTTAATAATCCACTAATTATGTGACTATTCTTTCATAAGCCCTTCAAACATGCTTGATTAGAAAAACCACCTAAAAATGAAACTTGCCTGTAGCCAAATTGAAGAGCAATTCTGTGTCCTTTTCCTTTTAAACCATTATTGGAAGACAATAGTTCCTTTCTATACGCTGTGTGGAGGTCACTTTTTCAACATGTAGAGCTACATTGTGTGGATTTTAATTAAGAGGTTTCAATACTGATTTATCATTTTGTTGTGGATATTGCCATTATTTTTCATAATTGTCTTGAACATAAAATCTCGTTTTCTACACTGGGCATCTTACTTGACTAAAGTAAGCTATAAATGACTGGAGGTTCCACAAAAATAGACAGCTTAGCCCTCAAGAGATTGCTAAGTTCTATGGTAAGTGAAAAAAATATGTTGTCAGCTACAAGACTGAGGTTTGGAAAAGATACCAAGGAATTGAAAAGGTCTTCCCCCTCCCACCCCCCCACCTTGTTTTTTTTCTTGTTTACTCTAAAGTCGTCTTGCACAAACTAAATAAAACTTTGAAGTTTTTCAGTGAATCACCCAGGGGCCTGAATAATTCAATTCAGAATGTTTTTATGAATGTTGAGGCAGAAGAAAGTCTTAAGATACATGATGGTATGTTAAATGTTTCAGGCTACTTATTGCTCTTGTGTTTGAGTTTGCACTTTGCAGTGCACAATGTCTTGGGTGCTATAGTAAGCCTACGAATTGCATATGCTTCTTGTTATTTATCTAGATACCATTATGTGATGATGTGCTCAGGTTCAGATCAGTGTTAACTCTCTGCAAATGTTTAAATGCAATATTCATTTGAAATGCTCCATGGCTCGAAGTCTATCATAACTGGATAATATGGGTTTTTTTCCAGTTTGAATAATACGTTAGCTCAAAATCTTTCACCAACAGGGATGACCGCCAAAACTATAATTTGAAGTTAACTTATACTGGAATAATGCGTACACATTTTGTCTTTACTGGCAAGGTGTCGTGGTTTAACCCGGCTGGCAACTAAGCACCACACAGCCGCTTGCTCACTCACTCCCTCCTCCCTCAGTGGGATGGGGGAGAGAATCGGGAAGAAAAAAATAAAAAAGGTTAGAGCCCTGGGCTGAGATAAAGACAGTTTAATAAGAGAAAATAATAATAATAATGAGAATGAGAATGGTAAGAGAATGTACAGGATGTACAAAACGAATGATGCACAATGCAATTGCCGACCAATGCCCGTCCCGTCACAAGCCGTGATCGCTCCCCAAGCCACAATCAGTCCCTGAGCAGCGATCACTCTCCCCGCAACCGACCGACTAACCCTCCCTCCCTGTGCATGACGTTATATGGTATGGAATAGCTCTTTGGTCAGTTTGGGTTAGCTGTCCTAGCTGTGCTCCCTCCCAGCTTGTTATGCACCTGGCCGAGCAGGAGAAGCTCAAAAAGTCCTTGAGTAGTCTGAGCACTTCTTGGCAACAACTAAAAACATCAGTGTGTTATCAACATTCTTCTGGTACTAAATCCAAAACACAGCACTATGCTAGCTTCTATGAAGAAAATTAACTCTATCCCAGCCGAAACCAGGACACAAGGGTTTGTGGCAATAGAGTGAACGTAAAGCAACTTCAGAGTCATCTTTGCGAGAACAGGATGTATCGCTCACAAGTGGCAAGGTGCAGTTTAGTGTACTTACTGGTGGATGCATTGCATGGCTGGATAAGTTTATAGCTATAGGAAGTGATATCTTTTGATAGTAGGATGTTTACAAGTCAAGAAATAAGCTTTGTTCCTTTAATGTAATTCTTATTTTTGTGGTTAAATTGATTTTCCATAGATGCAAACACTCGCCTATATCCATCAGCCATCTCCCATCCACTTTCCCTCAGGGTGCAAGATTGTTTTGCTGCTAATCAAAAGAAACAGATGGCTTCTGGCAGTGCTGCAAAAAGTACTCGAAAAATGAAGTAATGGTTCAGCCTGCTTTACTCCAACCTAAGCCTCAGAATTCATAATCTCTTCAATTTTCTGTTTTAACCTCCAGGATGGAATAAAGTAGTTGTAGCATTGTACTTCAATTTGGATATAGGCAATTGTAGGATAAGTGTCTGAATCCCAACTTTGCATAGTTTCCCCTGCTTTTGCAGGAACTTCTTTTCTTTTATTCTTTAATTTTTCAAGTCACCTCTAGAAAAACAATTACCTTTAGAGACAAAAGTTGTAATGGAAATGGGGAAGATTATTACTGTGTTACTAATCTAATCTCAGCTACATTAGAAATGAATAGTGTGTTCTGCAGATAACTTTGTTATAATATACTTTAATTTGACTAAGTGATAAATATTGCAAGAAGTGCTTCTTATTTTATACTAGATGCCTCAGGCGTTTTCAATCAAAAATACAGTATCCAATTTTACATATTCTATTCTGTGCATCAGTCTGGCTGGTATGAAATTTATTTGTTAAAGGAAGTGAGGATGTTTCCATTTCAAAAGGTGATTTATTAGGTATATGTAAAATAAATACTAGATGTTTTATTTAGTATGTAAATTTACAAAATTGTGGATACAGTCAGAAGGAATAACTGGAAAATAAGATTTATATGTATAGTACATAATTCAAAGATTTTCTTATAGGTATGTTTTGCCACATCATTATTTTAGGTTGTCTTTGGTTTTTTGGATTAGTGCTGTATTTTCAGTTTTAAATTATTTTCCCAACATTTATTCATTTCCTTCACCCTGGAAGCTAGTAACTGAGGTCATTGATGGAGTTCTATATTAAGGAGACTTTATTCAAGTGATCCTAGGTATCCTAGGCAATAGATAGGTTAAGTCTTATGAATTAGTATTTAATGTGCTGAGTTAGATATCTTTTGCACTGGAAGTTACTGAAGTTGTTTTATTTAACTTAATGCTGCTGTTGTAATGTGGTTTTGAGCTGTCTCTATTTTCCTATCTAAATATGCTTAATAGCTTCATAAATAGTAATACCTATCATCTTATGTGTATGTATCCCAGTGTAAGTACAGTACTTCCCATTAGAACTGGGGGAATCAACTCTAAAACAAAGCAAATTACATTTTAAGATCTTTTTATAGCCTGGACCAGGAAATTCAGCAGCTGAAGCAAAAAATATACGAGGGTGATGGTGGTCAGAAAGGAAATCATGGAACATTAGAAGAGAGACTCTCCCATACAGTCTCCCCTACCAGCCCAACAAAGCCACAGCCACCCGCTGCTCCACTAGTCGATGATAGGTAGGTAATCT